ATTAATCAACGTTTCACGGTAAAATCCTCACAGTATAGTATTTTTTGATGGACTTAAAGGGTGTTGAGCCAAACAAATTTAATTCATTCAAAATTGCCAAACAGGGAAAAAAATTAAATGCCAATTACTTCGATTCCATTATTCTGATGATCACCTGATTTCACCACGACACCTTACAATATATTAAGTGCCTACCTAGTCTGAGTCGGGTGTAGCATCCCAGCAGAGACGGAGAAATTTGACAAACGTACAACATTATACAGTAACCAGCACGTGATGATGCGGAGATTATTCAGAAGGTTAGGGGGGGGGGGGGGGGGTGAGGGCTTGTGCCTCTTTTTGATAATGATTTTATCACCAATTTAAAGATAAGACGTAACACATAGGCTACTAGTGAAAATAAACCGCATTCTCACATACAGAGCACAATCATCGTTCGATAGTTAGTGCTATGTTTAGAAACCTTCTAGACTTACCTGGAAGTATACAGGGCAGGTAGATGATTATAGCACCCAAACACTAACGAACTGACAAGATTTTTCGCTGTCTATAGCCGCCGTGTGCCCATTCTCACCTTGGTGAAGTGAGAAAAATGTGTATTTTTTAATGACTTTCCCACGGACACAACGTCGGATCCCACGGGATTCGAACCCACACCTAACGGTTGCGAGTCCGAGAGTCTGTAACTACACCACAGACGTCATCAGTTATTGTAGTCCTATTACTCTCATACAGACCAGCAGGCCAGTTTGTGACTGCTCTCAGTGGTTCAAGCTGCCTGGATCTCGATTCACACATTGGAAAGTTCTTTAAACAGCCAGGGAAAGAAAGATAGAAAGAAAAGGGGAAGAGAGAGAGAGAGAGAGAGAGAGAGAGACAGAGAGAGACAGAGAGAGAGAGAGAGAGAGAGAGACAGAGAGAGACAGGGGGGGGGGGGCGAGAGAGAGTGAGAGAGAGATACAGAGAGGAAAAATATTTTTTATATATGTATATATATATATATATATATATATATATATATATATATATATATATATATATATATATATATATATATACATACAAAGATAGAGAGAAAGAGAGAGAGAAAAAAAAAAGAGAGAGAGAGAGAGAGAGGGGGGGAGAGAGGGAGAGAGAGAGAGAGAGAGGGAGAGAGAGAGAGAGAGAGAGAGAGAGAGAGAGAGAGAGAGAGAGAGAGAGAGAGAGAGAGAGAAACGTATGAGGATGAGATTAGCAAAAAGATAAAACAAAAAACAATCGTGGGAGGTACATGATTTTTGAAAAAAATGAACACACATACAGCGTGAATGACATTGAGGCAAAAACCATAATTTTATTTATCAGAAGCGTTTCCATGGGCAACAAGCCCTTTCCGCACTACACAACGAGTAAAAAAAATGCTGAAACGTTGGAGAGGCTGCAAAGAGGCTAGGGAAGGAGAGGACATTGGGAAAGTATTGGAAGATAGCAACTACTTGTAGACTTATTGCCTTCAGTTCGAGAGTAGCGTTTTTAAAGATCGCTAGAGCTGAAAACAAAAAACATTTCTGTACCTACGTTCTACAACTTTTACTTTTACTTGTTTTTACAGAAAATCGTGCCACACGCTGGCCACATTCTTTGATAAATAATATCATATTTATCCAGTTTTTCTTGAGTTTTCTGACACCATTGCTTTGAGTCAAATCACAGCCTAGCGTCCTGATACATGTATAGACGTGCAGTGAGACCATTGTTGTTCACTTTTCTGTTACTCTATAGTTCTATTAATTAACACGTAAACTATAACATTGCACAGAAAACCATGTATGGCATAATGAACCCGTCATGAAATAGAAGATTCAAACATAGAAGAAGCAGTCTCCCACTATTCAGCTTAACTCGTCATAATACGCATCTTTGTTACCCAAATCCGCTTCAAATTATTGCGAATTATTGTAAATCATAATATGCCTCCGTCAATACAATTTGCACCATTTAGCATAAGAGGTGGGCTGCTTAGACCCTTTCTGTTGGAGCCATCTCTGGCAGTGTCTGATATAACAATATTATTATCCAAGAAGATAGGCCGAGATACTGTACTCGATAAAGTGGACTTCCCCCTCATAAATGAGCACAGAACTCGCATCTTTTCACGAAACAGCGAAGATTAAACTTTTCAACACCGATGCCACGATCTTCTTACATCGGTTGTAAAGAAAAAATCTTCGACATACAGTAGTTATAAATATCATTCTGTAGTTCCGCTTTGTACGATCTTCAACAGGAGAAGATAACCTAGGATATCTCGTTTCCTTGACCTGTTGAGCTGAATTGAGCTGTGTTGGGTTGCTTTTACTGCCACAGGTAGCACAGGTATACGGTCAAGAAATCTACTATTTTACCATGTGACAGCATGAACATCTTCCATTTAAGAAAACGCTCGCAATTCACAGGGTTGAGACAGGCAAGAAATAAATACAATGCTCAGAGTCAAAGTCAATGAAAACAAAATAACGCAATATAACTGCAATTTCTGGATTCGAAAAGTTCCAAAAATAATCTCAATATAGGAAAAGACATATAAAGGAAAAGAAATCATCAGCAATAAACGTCATCACATCAGCTTCGACACAAAAATGAAGAGGAAAGTGTGGTGAGATATGCACAGCCAAATTTGGGTTTCATGAAAACAACAGAATCACAGTCGCATACGATTTGACGATTGATTGTTTTCTGACGGATAACAACAACAACAACAACAACAACAACAACAACAACAACAACAACAACAACAACAACAACAACAACAACAAGCACACTCACACAGTGTTCATAGCAGCTCATTTGCGTACATCATTCGTGTCATTATATTAGAACACATTATATAATGTCTTTCACTTTATTTGCAATTAATGTGGAAACATGAAAGTATGATACAACTTAAGTATTGTCAAGATCAGAAACACTTGATTTCATAACTGAAGAAATACAGAAGACTTTGCTTCCTTACACCTTCACGGGATGGGGAAAGTAAAGCCTACACAAGAAGCACGGAACAGCAGATGAAAAACGTATCCTATAGAGATAATTAAAAGATAAATACAACTTAGCGAGAGTATAAACAAACAAAAAAATCACATCAGGAGTTACAAAGATTACACAACATTAAAAACAAAAATCAACATCATATGTGAACATTATTCATACCTTTCATATTAATTGCTAGCTTTAGTGCCCTGTTCCGATCTTGTTGTAATTGCATTCTCTACCTCTCTCCATTTTTAATTTCAAACCAAACCCGCCATGAAAGGTTGTACCCCCCCAAAAAAGTACTCATCATGTACGTGTATTTATTGTCGAGTGACAAAATCGTATACCCAAATAGGCGACTTTCATTAAAGGTAAAACTACATAGATTTAGGATCAGAGACAGTAAAGAAGTTTGCACCGTCATTGAACAGATGAGTTCTCTTTTTCCATCGTTTGATTTGGATGTTGTCTACTTTGATCACGATTCCATGATAAGTAGGCTATTGAATCTTTACCTCACAAAAGCAAAAGAGTCATGCTGAATAGATAGTCCGGTAGTATGCTTGTACAGAGTCAATCGAACAAAATGTTGCTCAATCAGAACCGTCAATAATTGTGAACAATTTCGAAATCATATTTACGGCAAATATTCAAACAATATTGAGCTTGAAATTACTATTCAGTTAACTAAGTACGTTCTCCAGGTTAATTGCTACAAGTCTTCTAGTAATAAATACTATTATTTTTACGATGACTAAAGTGTGCATGGCATATCTTTCTAGTTCTACACACAGAACAAGACATGTACGTTCCATTAAGAGAGATCAGGAAGTCATCATATCAATCAAATCAATATCAACATTCAATTATTGTTCACAAACCCAACAAAGGCGATACTGAGCACTGGCAGTTTCCATTACAGAATATGAGAGAACAGTTAAGCATTTTCCTTTGATGAAACAACGATGTATATGCGATCATAATACAGAAAGCTATAATATGGCAAGAAAGAATCAGCTTGCACTTCGTTCATTACATACGACGTAAACGTACGGAGTACGCGTTGATGGTGAGAGACTTGAATCATCATGAAGAAGAAGATGATGATGACGATGATCATGATGATGATGATGATGATGATGATGATGATGATGATGATGATGATGATGATGATGATGATGATGATGATGATGATGGTGATGAAGAAAATTGGCACGTTGGAAGATGATTATGATAATGATAATGATAACGATGTTAGAAAACTTGTGATTTTCATTATTTTTCATTAACTCTTTAAGTATCAACAGGTCCTACGTCCACTACCTGAATGGACAAGTTCCTGTCTTGTCTAAAAGGGCAGAATAACTCAAAACAAGAGAAATGAAAATGTTATCACGAAATGGTTGTCTCAGATTTCTTGTACAAGACAACTTGTAACAAAATGTAAAAAGATTTCAAAACATATGTGAGGCAGCGTGGTCGAAACAGGCTCTCGTCAGTTTTTGGGCATGTGGAGTTCTTGGTATCATATTAAAGCTTGTTTACTTGTCTTTATTTGTATGAAAAAATATCCATTTATCTTGAATACAAGTCGAGATATGTGCCAAAGAAGGAGGTGGGGTTCATCTATTTTCAGAGGTAAAATTAGTGAGAAAATGGCCGCCAAAGATTAGTTATATCCTTAGCTTAAGAGTCCGTGGTAACTAAAAATTTACATTTTTTGTACCTTTAATCAACGTTTTTCGGAAACATCCACACAGGAATGAGTTCTTTAATGAGCATGAACGGTGTTGAGCCAAGAAACAAAAATTTGAAAAAAATTCACAAACCTGCGGATAAATGCAAGCTTCTTAACTTTGATTATTTTGACGAGAGCATGATTCCACCACACTGCCTCACATATACACCAAACAAAGTAACACAGAGGAGCAAGAATCTATACAAAATCAATAGATGAAAAATTCGAAACAAACCACTTTTGAAATAAATTAGCATATCAATTAATACTATGTACACAATTCTGGTTTTTCCAATCCTCAACCCATACAGTATCTTTCTGTGACCATCAACATTAACTGTGATTCAATATAATGACAACAAATTGCCAAACACTTATCCTGTACACGAGCGCTTAGGAAGCTTCAGTTAAAAGCCCCTTGAGTAGCAAGGCATTAAATCAGCTTGTCCAGCATTCAAGTTTGGTTGGCTTAATGAAACAAAGCAAACAAAAACAAAAAGAAAAAATATTTTAAAATAAAAATGAATCTAGAAAAAAACGAACTTCTAAACACATCGGTGCAAAAGAAAACAAACCCGATGTGTTAAACAGAGAGTTAAACAGAGAGATAATGTACAGTCCATGTTATATTTCAATGGCAGTACTTGACAGAACAAAGAAATTTGTTGACCCTTAAATGACAAGCTATTGGTTAAATCAAAGAGCAGTCAAAGTTTCTGGACAAGGTGCTTAAACAGCAGAGAATTGGTTCCCGAAGGAAGATAACTTAATTGAACAAAGCTGTACAACTTATTTTCATCCTTAAAAAGTAAGTTTGACCACCATGAACTTTCTCACGATTTATGAAAAGGTTGCACAATTTACTTTAATCCCAAAGATAAAAGTAATTTTGACACGTCTGAACTTTCTCACAATTTGTGAAAAAAAGTTGTAAACCGTATGTTTCATCCTAAGGAAGAAGTAAGTTCGGCATATCCAAACTTTCTCACAATTTGTGAGAAGAAAAAAAGCTGTACGCCGTATTTTTCATCCTAAGGAAGAAGACAGTTTGGCATATCTAAACTTTCTCACAATTTTCCCCCAGACTGCGCCTGTAACTTCCGACTCTGCTCCTCCAGGCGTCCCTTCAGCTCCTGCAAGGACTCCAGTAAGGCCTGTTTCCGTTGCACGTGCAGGTCTCGCTGATGCTGTAGCTGCTGCTGTTGCCGGGACACCTCGGTCTGTTGAGCCTCCTGGATCTTCCTGTAGACCATCTCCTTCTCCTGCCGCAGGAGCATGACACGCTCCGCCAGGCTGCTGGTCTCCCTGTCGTCTCGCAAGGTCATCAAGGTCTCTAGAGCCAGAGAAGTAGATTCAACTTCAGCAGAGGAACGCCGGAGCAGCGGTGATGACGAAGGATGGTGCATGCGGTTAGAGATTGGATGATGATGGAAAGCGTTAATAGTACTTGGGTGGTTTTTATCTCTCGAGCGAGCCTGATGGAAACGAGGGTGATGATAAGGAGAATGAAAGCTATCATGCGACTGGCCGAGTGGCGGCGTTATGCGATGGTTGAGAACACTATATGCGTTGGTGGAAAATGCATGAGATGAAACCAATAAACCTTGAGAAAGATTTGAATTAAGATAAATATTTTGACTTGGGGAGTAAGGCTTCGCAGAATCAAAACTCTTGTTGAGAGAGGAAATACCAACTGAGTTTCCACTTGCAATGTTGTAGTCTTCTCTCATAATCTTAAACTTTTTCCCAGAATGACGGTCGGATGATGATGGGGAGGGGAATGAGCATGCTTTCAATGCCTTTGCTGGTGGTTTACCTTTGTGTTTTGCGTCACGAGGGCTGGGAGAGTCTTGCATGAGACAGACTCGATTTGAGCTTGACATGTCCACTGGACCAACACCTGGCACGAGGAAGAGAGGTCTTTTCATGTGTGGCCGATCGAGAGGAGCATCGCGCAGAAACGCCAGGTAATCAGCTTTGTCTTCCACACTCGACTGCACGGCGTCTGAGGCGCACTGTAACTCAATGCCAGAAGAAACAGACAATGGGTCTTCATCAATGAAAGGTATGTCCACTGCTCCTTCACCCAGTCCATTTTCAGACTGAAATGACAATTTTGTAGAATCTGCAGTGCTGTTATAAGAGTCACAACCATTAGAGAGTCTCTGCATGTCTACGTTGTGACTCCTACTACTATCCACCAGAGGCTGTGTTCCTGGGGACTTCGTGGTTTGTTTTAAATGGGGAACGTTTTCGTATACATGATTTAGAAAAGTATCTAAAGTTCTTACAGGAGGATCTGAATTGCCAGTGACCTTTTCACCACCCTGCTCTCCAGTTTCTGAATCCTGATTACATTCCACATTGTCCTGATGCACGTCTGGCACAGAATGGCGAGAACCAAATGACTTCAAAGTCGAGTCAGAACTGTCAGATAAGTCATGCTTGGACTTATTATCATCCATTGCCTCTTTGTGTGGGTACATTTGCTGGAATATTTCTTGGAATTGGTTTTCTATATTCGAAAACATGTCGTTTACAGTATTTGAAGAGATAGACTTTGGTGGAACTGGGGTGGTGCATGCCACTGCAGTCACCGATTTTGAGCTTGATAAAGTCTCTGGGTTACCGTTTATGTCTGTGTCTACCAGGACGTCAAAGTCTGACGTCACGTCCTGCTCCTGCAAAACAACGTCGTTACTGGATCCGCTCGCAGTTGTCGCCTCCTTGCAAGGAAGAGAAGTAGACGCGGTGACAGCTTCAAGAGCTGTATCTTTCGGGGGTTCGCAAGTCAAAGTGTTTCTGGAGGGAGACGTTGTGACGCGGCATTGAGAGCCTGGCCTAGAGTTGATAACAAGGGACATTCTCTCAGCCGCTGTGCGCTCTTCCTGCTCGCTTGTTAAGACAAGATCTTCGTCTGTGATGACTCGGCTATCCCGAGCTAGACTTGAGTAGCCAGTGTCTGCAGAGCCTTGCATGTTCCCGGTCAACAGCCAGATTCGTGTGTTTTCTGAAGCATCAATGGCAGCGTCATCTAAAGACTCGAGTGGGTCTTGGCTGTCCCAGGGCAAAAATTCTTCGTCAAACTCGGTCTGACAACAAGCATCAGTCATCTCAGAGTTTGCCACGTCTTCGCTGAGCTCAAACTCATTTCTCTCAGTATTACACTCCATTAAATTAAATATTTCCTCTCCATTTTCAGCGATATCTACATCGGCGACTGGTTGGTCTGCTTGACTGAAGCTTCTCTGAACAAAGTTTTCCTCATCTGCTGAGATGTGACCTTGACGAGTTAATGCTTTAGCTGGAGCCTCTCGGGTAGCCATGTTAGCTACTCTTGGAAACTGTCCTTCGCACTGAAAGTTATCAGTAGGGGACTCGATGCAATCCGACACAGTAATATTTCGTGGAAAGTCGAATTCATCTGACCACGGCCTTCCTCTCTCATCATGAGGAGAGACTTTCTCAATGTTGTTCAGCTGGCGCGAAGCTGCTTGTCCACATCTGCCAGTTCTGAGCACAGTGGGTCGCGAGGCAGAAGGAGACCTCTTGTCAGAGGGATCCGACAGTCGGGCTAATTGACTCTTGGACAAAGATGAGTTAGAGCGAAAATCGTGAACAGACATGAGAGAACCCATGACTATGCCGTTCCCAACCAGATTTCTCCGCGGTGCCGGCTGGAAGGGGGCATCAAGTCGTTCATTAACCATCAGAGCAGAGTTCTGATTGGATGACTCTGTCTTACATCTCAAGAGAGGCGACCCGTTTTTCTTTAAGCTCCCCGAAAGATGGCCTGAGCTCGAGGCGTCCTGGTAGGAAGTGTTGTCGATATCAGATTCACAAACTCCCGCAGACGCCTCAGCTTCCGCTGATAAGCTGTTTTTGCTGATGTTTAGTCGGAATGAAGCAGTATCTCCTTTACTTAGAGATTTATAATCGCCTGAAGCTCCTAACGCGCTATCACCGTTATTGGGTGTGAATGAGGATAACGCATTTTGGGGAGGTGTCCTAACGATTTCCTTTGAAGTTTGAAGCGTCGCACAGGAAGATTTCAAACAAAAAGCTCGAGGCGTCTCTGAGAAAGAACAGTCCATTGACAGAGTCTTTCCTTCCGACTGGCGGTGGGGCGAAGAGAGATCATCGCCATCCGTTGAGCCGAGTCCCCCAACACCAGAGTCAGGGCTGTGCGCGTTACTTAACCCGTCTCCAGAGCATTTAAGAAAATCGCTGTTACTGCGCATCTGTTTGCACTTCCTATCTCCAGAACTACCAGGAGTACTCAGCCCATTACTGTCTTCGTCTGTGAGGAGTTCCTGTATAGACGCCTGTCCATCCTCGGGGCACGCCGAAACACTTTCTAAGGTTGAGTCCAACAAGTCTTCGTATTCAAAACTGATGTTGTTGGCCAACTGCTCCAAATTATCAGCCAGCATGACGAATTCCGAATTTGGAGAAACAATGGAAGTGGGTCTCGATCTCGAAGGTTCTGAACTGAGGTCATTTAACTCTGAACAGTCAGGTGGTGCTGGCGGGACGAACGATGGAGGGACTTCCTTTTCGTCGTATTGAGAAAGTATCCTGGGTGTACCAGCAAAGCAAGGGTCACTCCGTACGTCACTCGGCGTCAGAGACCGGTGTCGCTGGATAGAAGTGTGATTCCCCTCCCGGCCCGTGAACACCTGTAAGCTAGGTCTCCTTTGGCACTCAAATGAAGCAGATCTGGGGACTGTGCGACCGTTGACGTCATCCACAAGCATCATATCTTCACATGACTCTCTAATATCACATGACCCAGCTCTTCTGCTTCCAGACAGCGACGGCTGGGGCGACGGAAGCCATGGATTCGTCTTGATCCGTGATCTTGACCTATGAACTTTACTTCGCGGAAGATCGGATTCGTAGCCAGACAGGGAAGCAGAATCAAAACCTGTCAAATCTGTCTCTCGAACACACGAGCTTTCACGAGAACTGTAGAGTCGAGACGAGCAGCTTTCCACCGAGCACTCTCTTGTTCGAGATCTTTCCATAGTGACATGATATGGCCCACTGTTGTCACACCTCAATGCAGGACTGAGCGAATTCTGAGCCTCGTTGTCGGAGAACCAAAGTTGATCGCATTTTTCTCGACCAGATACCACTTCTGAGTTTTCTTTGGATCTCGAGAATCCCTTCAAGCCTTTTCTTTTGGGTTTGACAGGTCTTTTATCTGCAGGTTTTCTGTCAGCAGAAGCACCCGCCTCGGGGTACGGGCAAACAGAACAGCGCATTGTTTCCCCCGAGGCCTGTTTTCCCATCGCTTTCTCCTTATTTGCCTTGCTGCTCTGTTTGCGAATGCCACGGAACGATGCAATGGATTTGCGGAAAAATCCAGGCTCCGATTTGTGAGTCTGATAATGCTGGGTGTTGGAACACAATTGCTGGTTTTGAGATAACGGTTTCATGGGTTGCGATGGCTGTACATGATGATGGTGATGGTAATGGTGGTGATGTTGGTGGCTGTGTTTGTGAACGTAACAATGGTAAAAATGTTGTTGTTGTTCCTGGTTGTACTGCGCCACCTCGGGCACTCGAGCAGACGTCTCACACATGGCTGCAATTTGTGTAGACGATCCGCCGTATTCTGAGACGGCCATTCTGGCGTCGTAACTCTGTGACATCATAACCACGCCTGACGGGAACCCCTCAGCGCTCTGCGACGCCACGATGCCGTGTGACGTGTAGCTCCGCGTCATCATTCTACTTCCGGACACTTCAACGCCTCCTCTTCTCTCGGTTTCCATCCCTCTATAAAGAGCGTTTCCTCTCCAGCTGGCTTCTGCCAGCGCCATTCTTTCCACACTGCCTTCTCGGGGCGCGTAGTGAGTGCCGCTGGAAAAGCGTTGCTGGCATTTGTCCACGACATTACAGGCAGCTGGATTAACTTCTGACCCTGGCACCGGTGGAGATTTCTTCTTCCTCCCCCTCATTCGGGGGAGAGAGTTTGCCACCAAATCTCTCAACCTCATTGTAACAGATTATAAGCGAAGTTTACAAAGCAATGCATTCCAGCCGTCGTATTGCCGTCACAGCTGTGACATAGATCTGGCTAGTTGTGATGGCGTAATCAATAGTCGAGTAGAGCTCACTTTTTTTTTCAAAGCACTCAGAAAACGAAATTTGGATTATAATCGAAAACAGTCACTACTGTGACATTGGCTCCAAACTAGATTGTTCTGCAGATATATTCTCTGGGTAAAAACTTCCCACTATAGTGCAGATCATGTAGTTCTCTTGAAATCCACCAGTCTTTCAGAAAGCATGTACGGTTTTGTAAGACCATTTATTGTGATCTAACATCGTCTTTCTGTTTTCATTTCATAAGTTATCAGAAATGCATAGATCTACCAATTCCTTGTCCGAGAACAATAATGCTTGATGCGTCAAACTGGACTTGCATTTGTAAAGTATTCGAAAGAGATGATAAATTATATTCCGTAGAGCAGCAACTTGGTAGTTAGCTTTTCTGTATTAGAACTATCCGTTCAGCGCTTCGAAATTGTTCGAAACAGGAGTTTAATATATTGTGAGCTGGTGGACTTTTACGCCAAGTTCACCTACAACGTGATGAATGACGTGTTTCATGAGATTCGAGTCTCTTGAACAATCACGAAAGAATTTCTCCTTGGGATCAGACTGAAGCACGCAACAAGTATGGTCAGCTCTGTTCTCCTGGTACGCCGGACGCTACCTGCAAAAAGAAAAAACAAATCACAAAAATGAGCAATTTTTCATAAAGGAAATCCACCACGACAGATATACGTATTACAGAAATATTGGCCGTATACCCACATTGACACCATGAATAAAACCCTTTCGGCGAAATGTTGCTTCGATTCAGACAATCATGGAAAGCACGAGTAAAGCAGAAGGCAGTAACCCAACAAATGGAGATAGTCGGCACAATAACTTCCCTCAAACAGGAATCGAAATCATAGCATCTGTGAGCTACAGCAAAGACCCCAACCATTATAATGATATAATTACAGATGCTGGTGAACTTATAATCAAAGACCTCAACCATTATAATGATATAATTACAGATGCTGGTGAACTTATAATCAAAGACCCCAACCATTATAATGATATAATTACAGATGCTGGTGAACTTATAATAAAAGACCCCAACCATGATAATGATATAATTACAGATGCTGGTGAACTTATAATCAACTTAAGACTGACTTCAATTTATAGATAAGGGCTACAAGAAGTCATTACACGTCAAGCACGATTATAACTCAATTGCTCTCGCTCCCGATTTCCCATTTTATTCACTCAGTATCCGTAAAAAAGACCCGTCTTTTTTTCTCCTCTGGGCTCATACGTCAGCGCACAATTAACGAGGGTTATGAGCTCGCCACATTTCTGGCACCCCCCCC